AATCACTGGCACTAGGAGGCCCTAATACTCACAGCCTTTCAATTTTGCTAGGATTGAGCTGAAGCTTTTTCTTCCTTTTCTAGACCATGCCCTCTAGCCTCAACACACTGAGACAGTACCTTCAGAACATCACTTGGTCAGCCCTGGACAGAAATGTACAGCTGAGTATCATCAGCATACTGCTGATGCTTTACCCTGTGCCTTTGGATGACCTTACCCAGCAGTCTCATGTAGATCTTAAATAGGAGAAGAAGCTTCAAGCATTGAGGAACCCCCCATAAAAGAGTACGTAGGCTGGACTCTCCCCCCAACCTCCATCAACTCTGACTAGAACTTGACCCTGAAGGTAGGAGAAGAACCAGCACAAGATCATGTCCTAACTCCTAACCCAGTCCAGAAGGATACCATGATCAATAGTTTCAAAAACTTCTGAGAGATCAAAGAAAGCAAGGATGTATGCACTATCCCCATCCTACTCCCTCCAGAGGTCTTCCACAAGTGTGATCACTGCTGTCTTGGTCCCATATCATACTGAAGGAAAGGTGGAATATAAATCTAACAAAAATAAATAAATACCTGCCAACACAGAGGAAATCACCATTGTTAATATTGTTAATATAGCATGCATTTACTGTAGTGCTCTGGAGTCATTTTTATGCTATATTTTTTCATGTAATTGTGTATGTTTGTATGCATGCACATTTATTCAATCTATATACTACTAAAACTCATTTTGGGCAAAATGATGCATCATAGGCCAACAATTTTTGAACCAAGGTGCTTCAAATGGACTAACTTACAGAATGTATCCAAAATCCGGGACCCATGACCCCTGTGAAATTGAAATTTGGCAAATTTTATAAAACATTTTATGACATAAAAATTAACATAAAACCTTTTTATGACATAATACAAAAAGTCATAAAACACTTCCTATGGTCAACTCCTGATGTTTGACTATGCTATACAGTTCAGTATGAATGACATGGGCTATTTTCAAGGCAGATACATCTCTGAATATCTCCCTGAATTTTTAAGAACTTTTCCAGTGAAGGCAGTACATTAGAAAAACATTTTATGACATAAAAATTAACATAAAACCTTTTTATGACATAATACAAAAAGTCATAAAACACTTCCTATGGTCAACTCCTGATGTTTGACTATGCTATACAGTTCAGTATGAATGACATGGGCTATTTTCAAGGCAGATACATCTCTGAATATCTCCCTGAATTTTTAAGAACTTTTCCAGTGAAGGCAGTACATTAGAAGCTCTGCCATTATTGAAGGCATTGAGGAATCTGGTAAGGAACTAACGATGACCCAGTGGGTCATGGGCTGTCAAGTTTTATTTATTATTACATAGTAGTATACACAGGTGTCCATTACCAGCCATGTTGATGTCAAAATGGCATGTATTGTGATATCATCCTCAAATGATTAAATTAAATGTTTGTGTCATGACATCTGATGCAAATTATGTCATTTGCATGATGACATCATGAAACATGCACCATCTTTCCCCCCTTCCCCTTAGGTACTCTTTGTTTGTTTTTTTTTGTTTTTTTACAGGCTATGCAGTAGGAAGCTGGGCCTGAAATGCCAGGAACTTATTCACTATGATGGGAACCTAAGAATCTGTAGACTATTTATCTGTCTAGCCCAGTATTGTTGATATTCACCAGCCATAGCTCCCTATGTTCCAGAGAGATGGAGATGGAAAATATCTTCTATCCCTCTTGTCTAAAATAAAAATGCTAGACTCTGTCAGGTTCAATTAATATGAAAAGCACCATCCAGAATGCCACTTAATCTAGGTAAATATAATAATGAAATTGGGGTGTTTCCCATATCTAAAATCTGTAGGCTAAAGTAAGGCTATTCCTTGGAGTTTTTCCTTTTATCAGCAACCATTGATGCCTTTCTAATTAGAATTTCCTTTGTATATTTGCTGCAGAAGTAGATTAATTTAAACAGTCTGTTCAGCTTGCCAGAGGGTTCATGGCCAGCAAGCTCATGCTCTGACTTCATTAGCTGTGATGTGATTTAAAAAAAAGATCCTCTAGTGCATTGGAAATGTCATTTTATTATTAAATTCTCTTTCTTGGTGTGATGGGAGAACAACTCCTTGTGCATTTTCAGATTACTGCTGTTGAACAATGTGGAGTACAAATTCAGAGCAAGTGGAATAAACTAGAACTGGAAAGGGACAAACATTCAGGTCTAGCTTCAAATAGGTTATATATTTTGTAATATGGAGACCATTCTTAAAATCATAAGTACCATTTTGCATAGGATAACTACTGTCAAATGCCTTCAAGAGATCTATTGTTATTTTTTTGAGAAGGAGTTATATTCAAGAATTTTGAAATGAAGAGGCACTACCTTAGCATAGCTGAAGGATTTTAATTCCCGTTATTTGGAAAGAGTTTGAGAAATGTATGAGCCTAAGCTTATAATATGATGGTTCCATAACAGTGTTCCAAGAGACATAGGAGAGATCAGATCTCTGTTTCCCCTTCTTGAATCTCCTTCAGTCCTTCTTGAAGGATCTGTGCCAGTCAACTCCCAGGATCTCCCCTTTTTAACTGGGATGATGTTAGCTGTAAAAGCTATACTGATTCTAATTCTCATAGCACTCAGTAGAAGGATTTTTTTCACCATATTAGAAAATGCTGATCCATCTTATTGAATTGAATTCCTGTATTAACACAGAAATATGGAAGGCCAAAAAGGGACTATGCACTGAATGGAATATAATAACATATTCTGTGGATACTGGAAACACAACACCAAACTAAGAATATGGTGATGCTGCCTTTGTAAAGAATCATAGTTCAGTGGTAGGCACATGCCTGGCATGCAAAATACAGAGTGCATAGGATCCCAGAATTTATCTCTGGCATTTCTGGTTGGCAAAACTTCAAGCAATTGTAATAGAAAAGATTTCAGACTGAGATCTTGGACTGCTTTTCTCCACCAGGCTACGCAGTACTGGTTAGGTGACAAACTGAACAGTTATAAGATAGCTTCCTATATTGTTTGCAGAGTATTGGAGTACACTTGATGACTGCCAACTGGAAATAGGAATCTATTCCTTTGAAAAGTATTCCCTCTCTGCTTGTCCCTTGTTATGCATCGCAGCATTACTGGATCTTGGAGATCAACTAAGATTGACCATTACCTAATTACAAGTATACATTGTTTAAAATTATTCCTGTTTACACTCAAGACCTTTTGTTAAGTGCCTATATCTCAGTAAGAACTGCAAACTGTGTCTAGCACTCTTTTTAATCACTGTGAATAGCTCAATCTCTTGACCACTACATCTCATCAGGTAGTACGCTTGATCTTAGCCAAAAGGCTCATGCACAGCTACTTTTCAGTACCCAGCTAGGACCTTACACTTCCTTTACTCCTCTTGAAAGGTCCAATCTAAATTCCTAAGGGCTATATTCCAGGTAGCCCCTTGTGTTCCAAATGTAGTATTAAGGAGGCAGAGCTGTCTAAAGACGAAATAGATGCATGGACCTGTATCATAGCACATGAGTTGAAGTTACTGTTCTTTCCCACAGGTTTGAGTTCTTTCCTAACTGAGGGCAATTACAAATCAATATTGTTCAGGACAATCACAAAAACTTCAACAACTTGGCTTTTCCAGGGAGGCATTCCTAAGGATGGGTTATGGGCATGCACTCAGCATATTTAAACAACACATCAAAGACCTAGATGCCCAACAGGACCAGTCTGCTCTACCTAAGAACGTTTTTCTGAGCAGTCCAGCAAGATACTTACACCACGTAACTGTTTCCAAATTCTGAAGATCCTTAATTTTAGCATGGTTCAACCCTCTCCCCACAGCAGTTTTGGAGGGCTGATACAAAAAGTCCCCTATGAGCTGAGACTGTGCCCCTGGGGACAAGGGGCTGTTGAAACTACAGCTCATGTCCTGCTATACTATACCCTCTATAAGGATTCAAAGATCCGCCTTATAACTCCTTACCTAATAAAACACCCAGGAAATTCTGATATTTCTTATGTACAGTTATCAGATCAGCATGATTCAGTCTCCTTGAATGTAGCTAAATTTTGTTATACTGCCTGTAAAATTAGGTAGACTTTGATTATCCAGTGACAAACCCACCACCAAGTGTAATATTTTATCTTGTTTTTACTTTATTTTTATTTTTAATGTGTTTTTATTTGCAATTCTGGTCAGTGACCATAATAAAAATATTCATTCACATCTCATCAGGATGTTCCCTCTGTCATTGTTTCTATGATTTCCTCTCCTTTGTTTGTATTGTACTTTTGATTTAAAGTTGACCTGTGTACAAGAAAAGTATAAAGACTTGTAGCAGTATGCTGTAGGGAGGAGGATGTAGCAAGGTAAAGAGGGAGATATTTCTCCCAATTCTAGAATTTAAGATAAAGTATTATTGATTTTCACCCTGTCTGCAAATTTCCTTAACATTAACTTGCTGATCCATTGCAAAGTTTGGAGACGCCTGGCTATAATAGAAAATAAATTTCTTTGTCTAAGCCATTCAACTCTTCTTTAATTTTCTGCAAGTAAAGGTGTTGGTTTAAGCTTCCTGTTGCTTGCTGTGCTTCCTTGCTTTCTCTCTTTAATTCTTGAAAATAATAATGCTGTATCAAGTTATGTCTTTTCTCACTTTTTCTACTGGCATTTTTCAATTCCATGTCATATGAATTCTAGTCTTCAGGTACAAAGCTCTTTTGGTATTTGTTACAAATGTACTTCCAACTGTACTTTACATCACCTGGAAGAAGGAGAGCAAGGAAACAATGCTGAAAATGAATTAAGCTTCACAAGACTGGCTTCTAATCTGCAAACTCCATCTTGCTAAGAATCATATATTTATTTTTATAACAAAACAAAGATGTCTTTACAAAAACATGTCTGAATAATATTAAATAGCCAGGCAGACTTCTTAAAATATAAGTAATCTGGATTTGTTTTTCTTGCTTTGTAGGTTGCGTGACTGTGGTGTCTTTAATAGAACAGTTTTCTCAAGTCCACAACTCTACAGTAAAAGCAACTCTGGAGAAACTCTGTACCTACTTACCTGGTAAAAAATAATATGCTCTACATATATCAGTTAATTTACCAGTAATGATGAATTCATGCTTATGTTACAAAATACTGTACCTGTTATAATTAGTTACAGCTACTTGAATTAATGAAAAGTAGGATTTTCTCCCAGAGCAGTTTTCAATTCATCCTTCTTCACTGTGGGGAATGTTAAGGACTCCTATCACCTCAAGCAACCTGCCTTTGGGGGAAATCTTTCTAGGGGTTTCTTATTCTAGAGAGAGAGAAAGCTGACCTTGACAGAGGTATCCAGGAACTGTTACCTAGACATAAGGGGGTGAAGCATTTTTAAGTCCAGAACAAGGAGATAACATTTGGAAGTCGCTCAGGCAAATGCCTCACTAATTTACTGAAGTAGGAGGAGGAGGAAGAGGTATACCACGATTTTGTTATTATAGCCAATCTCAATAAAAATAGTTCTAGCCTTTCTGTGGAGTTAATTTCGTGGTCAGGTCTGCCTGATGGGGCTGATGCTTATTCATCCAATTTTTTGATAACAAAAGAATTAAAACAAGCAAAAGAAACAAGCTTAATTTTCGTCATGAAGGCCAATCTATAACTGATAAAACGAGAGGCCTAGTTTTAATAATATTAGGAAAAATAAGTTTTTTTTCATTAAAAAAGGGCAGAAATTCAGCTAGATAGATTGAAATTTAAATAACGATTGGAAGGTATTGGCATTTCATAAAGAAATTGTCAGTCATGAGACTCTGTGCTTTTAAGATTGCCTTGGTCAGAAGACTTTGCTTCTTGTACATCTTGGCTGCCATATTGCAACTGACACATTCATTCTATCCCATTAAAATAATTGACAGGCAAAATAAAGCTCCCATGATCCTCCTGCTAGATCTTCAATTTGCTTTCATTCCCATCTATATTATGGTCAAACTAGAATCCTCCAATGGGAGATGGTGACACACCTATTTTCTTCTTGTAAAGAAGCAAGAACTTGAGCACATTTTAATGATGCACATAGATGTAACCCCAGACACTCACTCAGGCTTCCATTTCACTGTTCATGGGGAATAACCAAATAAGCAAATGTGTCTTTTCCTCTTATGTTACCAACAAAACTGTGCCTTACCACATAAATTATTTTAGATGGTGCTGGCAGACTGATATTTTGTGAGTAATTTGTCCTGGCAAGAATGTATACATCTTGTTCTTGTAGCCATATCTAATTGCTTCTTTTCCCACAAAATCTGTGATATTTTGATTGACTAATTAATTAAAAGTGATTTTCCTTTCCCAGAGGCCCAGAATACGTTACAATTATGACTGCAAATTGGCTGTTGGGAATGTTAATTGCTGAGGCCAAGTCTGAAGGACACTTCTGTTTATTTTTGAATTTTAGCTTTGCTGTGTTGCTGTAATTTCAAATAAATAAGAAATTACTAAAGGGTTATTTTTCTTACAAAGGGTGACTCCAAGGGAAATTGCCTCATATCTACACCTATATTGAGGGTGGCTCTGGAAATGAATAGAGCTATTCAAATGCAATTGTTTATTTAGTTAATGACAACTAATTAATTAGTGTGCCAATAAATTATTACCAGACAGCTTTAATTACAATCGAATTTAAATTATTTATTTTGAGTATGTTAGTCACAAGATAAATTGTTCAAAATTGCCCAACATGCTTAATGAAATCGATTTTATAGCCTTAGTTCTCAGCCAGAAAATCTAACTATCTTTCTGGCACTGGTTATATTTTGTTTTTGTAATAATTTCTGTGGCATTTAGTTGTATGAAGGTGAGAGCAGGTTTGGTTTTGTTGACATTGCTCCTACTATCACTCCAGAATTGCCCCACTTCACAAATGTTAGTGTTGGCTTCTTCAGTCATTTAGAATCCTACAACAGTTCTGAGAGAACTTGATGGGGTTCCATGAGAGATTAACTGCAACCCCCCCCCCAAAAAAAAAGTTTACTCAGACACAGACAATTTTCTGTCACTAGAGCTTTGCCTTTTGATCAGGGGTTCTGGATTTCTTTTTTTAATTAACAGGTTGCACAATCTGAAAACGTCTGAAAACCTTGACCTAGATCACATAGGAACCTGCAGTGTAGAGTAAGCTCCCATCTTCCAATTGTCAGGCTAGGCATATGGATGAATTTCCAAGTCAGAGAGGAATGAATGCTGGGACTAGTGCGGCCCTACTTGCTCATTCACACAATATTTCCAGTGGCTACTGGAAGCAAACAGGGAAGGGCTACACAATCTTTTCTGGGAGCTTTCTGCAACATCTCTTTGGCTTCTGTTAGAGAAGCATACTGCACTAGAATAACTTTTCCTTTCAGCCAGAAGGATAATTAAATACCTTCACATGTTTAAATGTAATCTTATGAATGCTCTTTTTTTTTTTTTTTCCAGTGTATGGTTTTCCAGGAAAGTCCCCCCTACAGGGTATTTGTTTTCTGCTTGTTGAAATATATGGACCAAAGATTATTAAACTGTAAGTATTAATGGCAATACTGATAAATACACAGCTATTGCTATGTCTTCCATAATTAATGCTTGCCCTGTACCATCCATCACAGCTGGCATGCTCTGGTCCCATTAATCAAACAATGCCATCTGATAGGACCAGGAAGTCTTTGACATGACATTCCTGCCAAGATTCATACAGCCCTCTGCTCTGCCCTTACTTAGACAAGAACCTAAGAGTTTGCTCTTTTCCCAGGCCTTGGGCTAGTATGGGTGGTGGGCCTTTTGGGAGTTGTTTGATCTATGAGATGATTGGGGGTTTTTTTTTCCAGACTTTTCTTTTTGTATTGTGTGGATTGCATTTTTATAGACATTGTATATTCCCACTGCCCAGAGTCACAGTGGAATCAGGCAGCCTGTAAATTTGAACTCTATCTCATCTCTCTATCAATCACTTTGCACCAGCAGTATTAAGTACAAAACCTGATACCTGTATAAGAACTGATGGCAATAACTCTGCACAGATTAAAATGTGTTACAAATGGCAGCAAGCCATTTTATTGGTTACAGTCACATAATTAGCATGGCTTAGAACAAGGATCCAGTCACTGACTAGTCTCAGTCTAAGTTTTGTCACTGATAAGACACTGGTTGAAATCCTACTCCCACCACAGTGTAGGTCAACATCATCTTAGGCATAGGTTACTATATGGCTTTGTTCTGAATTGGACTGATATGTTAAAGGTACATCCCAAGATTTCTTATGGAAATTCTCACCTGTGCTTACACCTAGTATGGATCCAGTCCAATAAATCTATCTAGTAGACTGTTGCTGTATAGTGCACAGTTTTTGTACTTATAAAGCTGTAACTACTCTAAAAGCAATTCAGTCTAACAGTTGAGAACTATGCTCCAAGATCCCCATTCTGGAACACCGTTCCTCCAAAATTCATATGGCTCATGGTCCTATTAAAATGAGCCCTTAAAACCAAAAAAGAAGCTGTGTAGGAACAGAGGTTTAATATGTGGATGTGCAAAACTTGTGCAGGTTTGAGGATCTTTCAACCCATTGGAAGATACAGAAAGCCAAGGTCACCAAATGAAAGCCAAATGAGAGTAAAAGTGTTATGTTAAATCATGGAATTACTGATCATCCTTGTAAAACTATTCTAGCTCAACTACTTAGGTGGTAGATTTATGCAGCTTTACTTTGTTCCCACCTTTAATAAACCCACTTTTGTTCCCACTTTTAATGTTGGCACTTCAACGTTTTGAAAACTAACGTAATATCCTTTCAATAAAAATTAAAGACATTTAAGCTCTATGGTTATGTAGAGATTTTTTTATAGGTTTTATGGAACCTAAAGATAAAATGGTTCCTCCATATATCTTTAATCCTGAAGAAAATCCATCTCAGTGGTGGCTAAGAGTTAACACTGACTTAATGGCATATAATCAATTAGTCAATTAAAAAAATATACATATTTAACAACAAATCACAGTAAAAAGAAACCTGGATTTAATAAGTTCTCAGTTACAAGGGCATTTCACTGAGCAGAGATCTTCCAATTTAATTATCAGTCATAATTTAATCCTTGTTTTATGTATAATTTGCTAAAAGGAACACAACTGATGTAACTGATGGTGGAATTCATTAAAGAGAGCAGAATCCAAGACAGAAGTTCCAAGAAAGAAACATTAGCTTAAGATCAAATTGGTCTATTGTAAAATAGGTTGAATTTAGTATATACAAAATGTATCTTTTCACTGATAAGGAACTGCTATATTCTAATACCTGACAATAAAAACTAGCCTTTTCTTTTAGGATAGAAGCCAAAATAAATGCGGATGTGGTATGCCATTTCATTCACGTATGTAAGAAGAAGGCAGGCCAACCATACTGTCATCTATACCCTCCTCCTAAGGTGAGTTTCACTTAAGTTTAAAATAGGAGAAGGTATCATTTAATTCCTTTTTGAAAATATTTTATCTAGAGAGGACAGAATCTATGGAGTGACTTCTCTATGACTCTCAAACTCACTGATGGATCAATGACTAAATTTAAATATGTGAATAACTCCCTGGTTGATTAAGCCAGCAATCAATCAACATCTAATTGGTTATCTTCCTCAGTGTTGCCACAGTACTCTTGCTCATTCCATAATCATATCTATGTCAAGTCATTTTAACTGTATCCCATGCTTACTCCAACATGTGAGTGATGCACATATTTTATCCCTAATTAATCCTTAAAACATCCCTATGTGATTAAGTAGGCTAAAGGTTAGATAAACTCAGGTTGCTTAATGGCAGTAATGATCAATCAAATATACAAACTCTGGTCTCTTGCATGCTTTGTGGAACCAGCAATAGTGGAACCAGCAATAGTAGCCTGATTTGTGGAACCAGCAATAGTAGCCTGATTTACATATAATGAACTATTACGTATAAGTCAGAGAGTTGGGTTCACATGTTGTGTTAAGCGTCACAAACAAACCACATAATATGTACTGTAGTTTATCACAATATCTGTCACCAGCCACTATCTTATTTTTAAAAACTGAAGGACAAAAAGTAGTTCATTCAAAATGTCTTTTGTATTGCTGAGAATTGCTCGGTGACAAATTGTCCTGAGGAGAGTAAATTGTAGGGCCAATTGTAGGGATAAACTGTGTGCTCAGATTAGTATCAGGAGCCTGAAAATACAGTATGGGTTGAATTGCTCAAAAGAGTGATTAAAGGTCTGGTTCACCTCTGCTAGTTCTTTTGATACCTATTTTCCTTGCATCTATGTGCTACTGGATCTGGTAAAGGACATTTCCTTTATAGTGTCAGGATTTTCTTTCTCATGGGAAAGGATTCATCCCGTTATCTTTACAACAAT